TCTGCATGTGTAATGTTCATTATGGTCAATGATGGTGGTCAATCTGAAAAATAAGTTTTGTCTGGGGACTATTTTGCCTCACAGTGGCCTACATGTACCTCTTCGCTGTTAATAGATTTTAAAAAGTACATTTTAGGACAAAATCTTCTCTCAAAACTGCTGTGCAGTGCATTCATAACCACTTTGCGTACTAACTTTCTGTGTGAGAAACTTTAGAGGTGTTAAACTCTTCAGACGTCTGGTTCCTATCACCACCACTGTGAACAATTCTGACTCATCAAGTTTCTCTAGAGCAGTACAATTTTACACTCAACCACTCTGGACAACTTTGTTTACAAGTTACCAGTGTTCTCAAACATGCAAGGAATTTTGAAAAACTAGTGGAATTCCTCTTTAATGTGCTTAATTGTATTTTATTTAAAAACAGTACTTTTTCTTGAGAATAGGTTTAAGTCTGCCTGTGTTTAAGACCCTCATGATCACAGATGTATTGATCTACACATGCATTTTATTCAAATGCATCAATCAGCCGTCAACCAGTTCTGACACCTGTGTGACAGGAGTCAGTCTCAGACACACTGGAGACTTGCTGACAGCATTGCAGAGCGCAGAAAGCGCCTCATGCGCTGATCGTCTTGGCCATGTAAATCGCGATCGTCTGGGGTTATTTTTAGGCAGCTGCCTACAGCTGTGTGTCGGTGATGAGAGGCTGCTGACATGCCGCTCCACAATACACACTGTTCACGCTTAACTAGGACAGACTGGCTGGAAAGACAGCAAGAGACATGCCAGCGGGCTCAACAAACACACACAGTGGTGAGCACAGATTGATAAGGGTATATTGCTCGTCCCTGCTGTATATACACTGTTCCACTTAAAATTGTACAGGACTTCTCCAGATCCTCACGCAGGCTTATGAGGACTGTCCGTCTTATTCAACTTCTACAAAATGAACATAAACTGTCCAATATTAGATACACTTTCAAGGAACGCTTTATTGTAGTCAGATTTACACAATTTTCCTTAATGTAGTTCAGAGCGTACCCAGAATGCTAACAATGGGGTCAAAGGGGTGGCCAGGAAAGACTCACTATTTTTAGTAGGGTGGCAAAACAAAATGAAACAGCAGTTAATAACATTCTTCTGTGCTTGTATTAGGCCTACATTACTAACATGCCTTTTCATTAACTGGTTAATCACATTTTTAAAATAATGGAAATTTATTTTTTCCTGTATTGATATGGTTCAGAGAAAAATATTGTTTGTTTTGTTCCTTGCGTCATTTCTACAGCTGAATACTGTGTCATTGGAATTTAAAATCATCATTAAAGTCATGTGATCCACAGCATGATGATCTGCTATATTGATATAGAAATTTATTTAGGTGACTTTATGATGTTTCTCTAAGGCTAACGTTAAGGTTCTGACCAGCAGTCCGTTTTCTCAGCCAAGTAGCCTATCAGCGCAATGACCAGATTATTACTACAATATCATCGGCCTCATAACATGTCAGTAACATTTCCCTGGTAACTGCTTTATTGATGATGGCTGACTGTCTGTGTGCAGAAATTCCCACAGACACACTTCAAAATCTTGTAGAAAGCTTCCCAGAAGAGTGGAGGCAGTTACAGCAACAAAGGGGGACCAACTCCATATCAATGCCTATGGATTTAGAATGGGATGGCATAAATGTGTAATGTGTAGGTGTCCCAATACTTTTGTCCATATAGTATATGTATGTCCAAGGTGTTAAAAACAAGGAGTTCTGGGACCCCCTGTAAGTCTCAAAGTTAAAATTTAGGTCCCTGGAAATAAACTGAGTATGATGTTGTGGTGTCCATTAGGAAAAATACAATACAAACAAGGGAAAGGTCATTGTTTGGTCTCATACGCAAAACAGCCAGCTTCAGTCTTCAGTGTTCTTAACTTTCTAAAGATGAAGCACTGGTGATCTGCCTCACTGGTTCACCCAGCTGGTCCATCATAGCTTAGGAACTGTAACTCTGCCCAGGACACCTCTGAAAAAAAGCCTTGTGTGAGGGGACTTTGTGAATCTAAAAACTAGCCTGATTTACTAAGAGTTTAGTGGAAACAGTGAACTGTTACCCAACTGTCACACACCAAAGACAGAAGGGAAGATCTGTAAACTCTCAGTGAATGTGCGGGGGACCACATTACCAAACTAGAAAAGAGCTTTTTAAAAATAAGAATTGTAAACCAAAACATTTTGCTGTCTATAGAGTTATCATCAGCAGCGTTATGGTGCTAGACAACATGGGACTTCCCGATTACCAGAGGGTATTTCTCACACTGAAGGTGTCATACAGTGTCAGAAACCACAGAAGCAAGACTACAACTCAATGCAGTTTGCAGGAAGGTGTGATGACTTAGGCGCTCAATTCTAACCTAATGGCTATAAGCGGGAATGTCCCTGTGTTTCCAGGGTTTTACATTCCAATGGCCCTGTATTCCCTGATACATTAACCCTTGAGTGGTGTTGGGGTCTGTGGGACCCATTTTCAACGTTTACCAAAAGAAGAAATGATGTGATTTATTATTATTTCAACCTCAGATTCCTTGGCCTTTGCTCATTTTCAGTGACTTCACACTGCTCACCCCCTACACATTTATATTACACATGTGGTGTTGGGTGAACCTGTGGGGAGTAACAGTGTGGAGGTGCTGTGTCCTTCACTCTGTTCTCCTCCTACATGGCCTGCTGTTAGTGTGTGTGTGTGTGTGTGTCTGTGTGTGTATGTGTTTGTATATGCGCGTGTGTGTGACACAAGGGTTAAGATGAAAGCGTTCCTAAGGTCATGGTTTGGGTCCTGGTCTCCCTTAAGGTCACACAGGGGACATTGAAGTGAATGTTTCCTTAGGAATGCACTTACCCTCTGCTAAGCTGGCCTCAGTGAGCTAATTAGCTGGGTTTTTTAGAAGACAGATATAAGCCAGATGGATTAGTTTACTACATAAAGCCTAATTTTAACATAACAAATTGAATGTTATAGTCTTGAAATATTGATTAATGGATGAAGTGGACGATACGTCAATGGCAGCTATTTCTGGGCAAGTTCTGCTCCTGAAGTCTATATATTTATATTTACTTGATCTGTCACTGCTCTAAGAGATCACTTGAACTGATACAGTAATGGAGCCTCCCATAAGATGGCATCAGAGATTCCCGAAGGGGAAACGGTGAGGGCAAGCTGATGATGTTAAAAACTGTACTGAAATGGAGGGTAGATGTTCTCACTAAAGAGGAACTAAAGGGGAACAAACTTTTTCAAAATTTCTCAATAATTCAGCCCTTGAGATGTAAACAAAGTCTTTCCGTGTGTTTTGATGTAAAATGGTTCAAGATTTCTTTACAGTGGTGGTGATAGGAACCAGGGGTCGCCCACACCTCTTTTATAGAGAATGTTGATGATGGTGAAATAGTGGAAAATCTAGAAAGATTAAGTATTCTTGGGGACTATTTAGCCTCAGAATGCTCTGCATGTACCCATCTATCATGACTGGATTAAAATAAATGGATTTAAATACGTTTTAAACCAAAACGTTATCACATCGTAAAACAATGTCTCAGACATCAGACAGTATATTCATAACCATTTCATGTAATAACTTTCTGTGAGGGAGCTTTTTAGTGGTTCTTATCACCACCACTGTGAACAATTCTGACTTGGTAAGTTTCCCTAAAATGGAGCATTTCACACCAAACCACACTGACTGACTTTGTTTACATGTAAACCACTTAGTAGAATTATTAAAAAATCAGTGGAGTTCCCCTTTAAATGCCAACTTTATGGTTTGTGATGATGCTAATGTAATGTAATGTTAAAGTAAGCCATAAAAAGTTTTTTGTTTTTTTTTCTGAAAATGTATCTGAATAAGAGTAAACATTCAATTTCAATAACACTTAAGTATAAAACTTGTGAAAATTGTACAGAAATATAGTAACAAAGTACAATCACTCAAGTGTTTTCCATCCATGTTGATGATAAGTGGAGGTGGTGGAATCAAGAGTTGAAATATCATAATGTAGTTATGTTATAACTGAAGTTTGGGGGGGAGAAACCTGCCTGAAACCCCTCCTTCTTCCAATCTAACACCCAGTAAATTCCCATCCTTACCTTCCGTTCCGCTGCTTAGCATTAACCATTCGAAAATAGAAAAAAACGATGAATACTTTGGTCAGATTTGAAAGAGGCGTTTGACATTAGCAGGTCAAATCCTGAATCTGTCGTTGCCCCATTCTACTACTTCTACTTCTACTTCTCTAGTGGAAGAAAGTGACAATTTCAAAAATATTTGGAACATTGGGCCTCATTCGCCAATATCCTCCTAGGTTTTTTCTTAAACTTGTTCTTGTGAAAGGTCCTGAGAAAAAGTCTGCGTCAGAGTCATGACGTGTTCTGAAAGCGCAGAACTGTCCTCACCTTTGTGCTCTTGAGTGTGTGTAGATTCTGTTCTTACCTAAGAACAAATCCCAAATAAGAAAACACTGGTGATGTCAGAATCTTCATGAAAACTGTAAAAGTGGGTTCTAAGAAGAAATTGGTGAATGAGGCCCAATATTGAGGCCTTAGTTGCTCTACTTTTTTCTTTTTGCAAAACTGTCGTACAAAATCAATAGAATATTTGAAGTTGCATGTTATTATAAATAGCAGTGATACGAGCCACACTCTCCTGCTTATTCAATGAGCGACAAGTGACATCAGCCCAGAGGATCTGCAAGCATTTTACCACAAATTATCAGATAAGACATTTCTGCAAACATATACGATCATGTTGGCTCTGCCATATTTAGTTACATGATCCATAAAGATACATGAAGCAGGTCCAGACACGGCCATGCAAGCCCAAGGATGACATAACCTCTGACAGACAACTGTTTAAACACCCTGCTTTATAATATACATAATAAGGAGGTAATCAGTCTGATCCGTCATTCTCTCAACATAGTAAAGCCTTGATTGTGTGTGTTGGCTCCGCAGACTGGTTTGATAGTGGCCTGTTATCAGGGGTACGTGGACGTGGTCATCGCACTCTCTGCGTGTCCTCATTTGGATGTAAACTGGCAGGACAACGAGGGCAACACAGCCCTCATCACAGCTGCCCAGGCAGGTAAGCACCACCCTGCTCTCTCCGACAGGACCACAGTGCCCGTATTTCATCAGTGTGTGATAAATGATTATGAATAAAAATAATAAAACACTTTGCTCTATTTCACTGACATGATATTTTTGCATACTATCAGTTTGTTTTTGAAAAATAAAAGTTATTTAAAAATAAACAAAAATATGTTGAGAAATATTCTTGATTTTCATGGTGAATAATTCACATAGACATATATCACATAGACATATAAGACAAATCAAAAATGTTGAATGATTAATAAGATAAAGTTTTGAATGCGACTTTTTCTGGGTGTTTCATTTGGGATTTAACACTAAGTGCTTGGACCCCTAATAAAAATATTTGGTTACAGTCGTATGCCCAAGTTTAAACACGTCAAAGAATGTTTTGCTGATTTTCTAAGTGAAAATAAGTGAACTTATCCTGTACAGAGAGCACACCTGGTATTTTTCTGCTCATCTTTGTGCATAATTTCTATTTATTTGCTGAGTTTCACAAATTGGAAAAAGACATAAAATATTAAAAATATCATTTTTGCACAGGCCATTTATTATCCAAAATGTCAAATTCAGCAAAGAAACTGAAGTTGTGCATTCAAATGTGCTCTCTGTGGAGGATGTGTTCACTTATTTTCACTTAGAAAATCAACAAAATATATTTTGACCAGGGGTTTCAAAACTTTTGCAAACAATTGTGTAAACTGCGCTGACCCACTATAAGAAAATCCTTCATTTGCTTGAAATTGTATTGCTTTTGAGATGTTTCTGACTTCGGCCTCCATTGCAGCAAAGTAAAATATGTGCTTCCTTAGAAACAAACTGACAAATCAACTTGGGCAGTTCAGAACTTTACACAACCAAGAAACTCCCCTGGTGAATTCCTCTGTTACCTTGTTGCCGTGTTGCAGGTCATTATCTTGCTATATAGTGACATCAGCCCAGAGGGCCTGGAAACATTTTTCTATGAATTATTGGATGAGACGTTTCTGTAAACATGTAGGATCGCTTTGGATCTGCCATATTTAGTTACATGATCAGTAAAGCTACATGAAGCAGGTCCAGACACAGCCATGCAAGCCCAAGCTATGACATTATCCCTAATGGGTATCAGATACGATGTAGTACGCTCTGAATTGAGCATGGTTGGTTTGGTTTATCAACACTTAAAGTTACCATCATTCTAGTAGAAGGTTTACCATTAATAAATGCAACACTCAACCAGCTGAACACAGATTTGCATCTAGTGGTGCAGCTTTCATAATTCTGCTGTTTAAACATGCTGTTGTCTCTGAGCTCTGGTGGTTGTTACTGATTTTAGTATCAGTGTTCTCAGTTTGTGTAAAAAGCTGCTATAAGCTGCCACTTTTCCTCAGACAATCTAGTCAACCTAGTATCTCAGCAGTTTCTTCACTTTTCAAGGCATTTCTTAATCTGCTGGAATTCAACATGCATTTAAAGGGCCCATATCCTACTCTTTCAGTTATTTAATTTTTTCCCCTGTGGTCCAATTCTAATATTTTATGTACCAAAAACAGCTACAATTAATTTTCACATGACCTTTTTCCAACCATCTCTTCATCTCTTAGAATTAAACAGGCTTTTTTGCTACTGCACTTTTAAGTCAAAAAGTAGTCCAGACTGAAAAACATTCCTCATAACTTCAGCATGAAGGGGCAGAGCTAAAGTGCTGCAGGGTAAATAGGCAGATATATGTAAACACATTGGTTTTCATGGCATCGCAAAAACAGTGATTGCAACAGTGATTACTTTCCTTATATGGACTGTTGACACTTTGAAACTTTGAAATGTTAACAGTTTGGACAGACTACATCAGAAAAATAAAAGTTATTTAAAAATAAACAAAAATATGTTGAGAAATATTCTTGATTTTCATGGTGAATAAACATTAAGTCTACCTGTGTTTTCATATTTTAATGGCAAAATAGTAAAAATATAAATAGGTTTGCTGTATGTCACTCGCTAGATTGGATGCTAAAACAATAATTCACATAGACATATAAGACAAATCAAAAATGTTGAATGATTAATAAGATAAAGTTTTGAATGCAACTTTTTCTGGGTGTTTCATTTGGGATTTAACACTAAGTGCTTGGACCCCTAATAAAAATATTTGGTTACAGTCGTATGCCCAAGTTTAAACACGTCCCGGTCAAAGAATGTTTTGCTGATTTTCTAAGTGAAAATAAGTGAACTTATCCTGTACAGAGAGCACACCTGGTATTTTTCTGCTCATCTTTGTGCATAATTTCTATTTATTTGCTGAGTTTCACAAATTGGAAAAAGACATAAAATATTAAAAATATCATTTTTGCACAGGTAGTCCAGACTGAAAAACATTCCTCATAACTTCAGCATGAAGGGGCAGAGCTAAAGTGCTGCAGGCTAAATAGGCAGATATATGTAGACACATTGGTTTTCATGGCATCGCAAAAACAGTGATTGCAACAGTGATTACTTTCCTTATATGGACTGTGGACACTTTGAAACTTTGAAATGTTAACAGTTTGGACAGACTACATCAGACTTATTTATTTAAAAAAAAGCAAGTCATATTGACGTCAGGGTTGTCTTCGAAAACCAGGCCCATGGGACTGCATGATTATGTTGACCAGAAAAAGATGCGTTGAAAATAGTTTGCCAGAAAGTGGAAATGTATTAAACACTCAGGGATTCAAGCAAGGCTAACAGCGCCCAGTAGTCACTGAAATGATCCAGAAATTATTCCAAAAACCTGCCCATTTTACCTCCTCAGAAAGTTTGCCACTGTTCTCACTGTCGTGGTGTACATTCCACCCAGCGCCAGCATGGGGGATGCAATGAACGAACTCTATGGCCAGTAACCTACTGACTGCGCACCCTGACACATTTTTCATCTGCACTGGGGACTTTAATCATGGAAATTTTAAGTCAATGTTATCTTAAGTCTACCAGCACATTGATTTTGTAACTCGGCACACAGACTGGAACGTGTTCAGGGAGGCTGCTAAGATTAAGAGACCCTTATTAGTCCCACAACAGGGGAAATTTCACCTCCGCATTTAACTCATCCATGCAATGAAAAAACACATACACACTAGTGATCACTCACACAAGGGGCAATGAGCACACTTGCCCTATCCGCAATGCCCAGGGAGCAGTTGGGTTTAGGTGCCTTGCTCAAGGGAACTTCAGTCACGTACTGCCGGCTCAGGGGATCGAACCAGGGACCTTCCGGTCACAGGGCTGGTTCCCTAACCTCCAACCCATGACTGCCCACATTGCTACATATAATGATTCACCTTTAAACCAGTCTACCAAGGATGCCATATCCTGTGCCATTCACCTCTCATTGACCCACCTGTACAGAAGGCAATTATGTGATACTGCTATTCATAAACTTTAGTAAAGCATTCAACACAGTCATACCACAACAACCTATTGGAAAGCTAAGCTTGCTGGGCCTGAACATCTCCCTCTGCAACTGGATCAAGGACTTCCTGACTGGGAGACCTCTGTCTGTCAGGATTGGGAGACCACCTCCAGCACCACCACCCTGAATACTTTTGCTCCCCAGGGCTGTGTTCTCAATCCCCTGCTATCACGCTATCACACTGCTGACTCATGACTGTGCTGCAGAGTGTACCTCAAATTACATCCTCAAGTCTTCTGATGACACTACAGTGGTGGATCTTATCAGCAACAATGATGGGTAAGCATACAGAAAGGAGGTGGAGCTTCTTGTAGACTCATGCAAAGACAACAATCTGTGTCCTGATGTTGTTAAGACAAAAGAGATGATTGTTGACTTCAGGAGGCCTCACAGTGATCACTACCCACTGCATCAATGGTTCAACTGTGGAAAGTGTCAAAAGCTCCAAGTTCCTTGTGTGCACATCAGAGATGACCTCACCTGGACTCTCAACACCACACGCCTAGCCAAGAAAGCCCAGCAGTGACTTCACTTCCTAATAGGGGTGCGGGAAAACCTTGATTCTTAGATGCATCGCGATGCGGACGTGAACGATTCTGAATCAATTCACAAATTCCAAAAAATGATTTTCTCAATGTTTAATATATACCGTAATGTTGACGGAATGCAAAAGGCAGAACTGGAAGTGCGGAAGTGCAGCGCCCGGACAGTCTGTGGCGGCACATAACAAAGACACAACTGGATGAGTGAGAAATCCGACCGGCACCCTCTGCATTAAAGCCAGGTTAGATCAGGAGTCACAACACGAATGTTAAGAAGAGACATTTTGCCTTTCAACAAAGTCAAACCACCTCGGGAGCCGCAACATTTAATGTCCAGTATGTGTTAATGTCGTAGTATGGGCTAAAATATAAACGAGAGCGCAGATTTACTTCGCTCTGCTTTAAGCTTCAGCTTTAGCCGCTTTCCTCCCATCTCCGCCAGAAAACTTTTCTTCAAAACTAGAAGAGTTTCTTGTAAAATGTCTGAGCATCCGGCTGTTTTACGAGGCTGAAGTCGCTTCTCATTCGCCAACTTCTGCATCCGCAAGATCACCAGCATTGTGGACGACCCCTTCCACCCCACTCTTGGACTTTTCTGCCATCTGGCAGAAGGTACTAGAGCATCCGTTCCACCTCCTCCAGACTCTGCAACATCTTTCACATTGCTGAATGCACCTGGACTAATCTAGAATCTTTCCAATATCTCCACTATAAACTGAGCGCACACTCCTTTAACACCACCATTGATCTAGATAAATATTAAGTCCAAAAAATAAAGGTAATAAAAATAGTTCAGAAATACCACTTTTGGTTCCCCAAACAACCTTTTAGTTGATGTTCCTTAAGAATCTTTAAAGATCTAAAAGTGAATCTTCTATGGCACTGCTCCAAAGAACCCTTTTAGGCACCTTGATTTTTAAGAGTGTAGACCCTGTGGATTCTAATGATAGACATTAAGTGAAGAGAGGCCTGACCACGAGCACAGTCTACTTACCTTTACTTTAGATTAAATAAATTTACAGTAAAAAAAACAAACAAAAACACCAAGTACTAGAACACCAAGCTACAAAATGCTAGAACCATACTATAACCAGAGGCAACAAGCTAACAAAGCTAAGCTATGAATTAACTTGATGTACTTAATAGCTAATCCATGTATTTTGATTAGTGCTGACCACGAAGACTGAATGCACTTAAATTTCTTTGTGTTCTACTGCACCTGTTAAGTCTGTGGGTTGGTTTGTGCTTAAAAGGAATCTTTCAAGACATAAGCAAAGGCTAAAAAAACAGTGCTAGCTAATTCCCATGACAACTACAGATGCAGCGGTGAATCCAGAACATTTTGGCTGGGGTGGCAAAGGTGGGACACTAAGTTAGTTTGGGGTGGCCTTAAAATAATAACACTTAACGAAAGCCCAGCGATCAAACATGCATAATTCAATAAATTGACACATTTCATGGTTCAGCCAAAACCCAAATAAATTATAAATTCATTCCAATACTTAAACCAGAGTAATTTGTGCCTGGTCTGGTTTGTTTGTAGTGTTTTTTTAATTATTTAAATAAATAAGTAATACAGATCAGTCTGGAGAGTAAGAAATAACTGATCACGCTTCCTTTCAGAAATACTACAGAAGAAAACAATACACACACAGAATATTGGAAGTTTCTGAAATGACAAGAAAATGTGCACCTTCTAAAGCCTAGCTTATGTAAGCTATTGTATTAAACTCCAAATGCTGCCTCTTTACTGTGACTTGTAACTTTGTGCATGATTCTCCTTGATGATTGCAGGGCACATCACAATCACAAACTACCTACTCAACTACTTCCCTGGCCTTGACATTGATAGGAGGAACTGCCTTGGTTTCACTGCTCTGATGAAAGCTGCTATGCAGGGCAGAGTGGACTGCGTCCGGGCTCTGATGATGGCAGGTACTCCAGCCTCCTGCACACTATAATTTCTCCTCGCCTGATCCTTGCTTCTTTCATGATACATTTCAACTGAAGCTGCTGTGTGCCTTTCTTAAACACCAAGAAAGGCAGAGTCTTGTTCACTCCATTTCACCTACGAGCCTAATGCTACTACTGAACGCCAGTTTTTCATTCAGAAGTTTGGAATCATTGTTTTCAATTATATAAAACCCATTTGATTGCAGGTAAATCTGTCCCTGCAGGAATTTGCAATTCTAAATTTATGCAAATTCAGTCAACCCTCACAATATTTGCAATAGCTTGCATTATTTCCACATTAAGTGTATAAATTGTGTGCTCTCACAGGCTCAGTCACACTTGCATTTGGCAGCTTACTTTTGTGAGTGTAATTACATAAATTTCATTGTTATTTGCCATGATGAGAGATTTCGTGTCATGGATTTCTGCATTGAGCTCAACGTTGGTGAACTTTGATATGCAAATTTGCATCGCCTATCAATAGCACTACTACCGATTTGACTTTGTTGACGGCCCTTCTTAGCACTGAACCTCAAAAAGAGGAAACTCTCATTTAAAAAGAGTCATAGCTCAAACCTTTTACCATTTCTTCCCCACTTGCATAAAGTAAATGCAAGATAGAGAGACTATCATATGCAATCAGCAGGGAGATTGCATTATTATCTTTACTTTGGTAATTTTATAGTTCTTTCATGAGTTATGATCCACTCTTATCGGCACAACACACACTAACACACCACCACCACATCAGTGGTACTGCAGCGCTGAGAATGATCCACCACCCAAGTAGTACCTGTTCTGTGAGGGGCCATGGGGGTCCTGACCACTGAAGAACAGGGTAAAAGGGGGCTAACAAATTATGCAGAGAAACAGATGGACTACAGTCTGTAACTGTAGAACTACAAAGTGCACCTATATAGTAAGTGGAGCTGATAAAATGGACAATGAGTGTAGAAACAAGGAGGTGGTCATAATGTTGTGCCTGATCAGTGTATATATTTATTATTAATATGTTATCTTTCCCAAAATACTTGAACTTTTGAATAAAACATCTAAAAATACGTTTGTTGTCTTCAATACAATTTAGATTTCATATTTAAAACCTAAACTGTTCGTATGACAAGTGACTACAAAGTTTTAGTTGTAGTATAATACCTGCAGGTAAATTAATTTGTCTCTGAAGAGAGCTTGTCTACTTTTTATTCTTCTGCTAGGAGCTGATCTGGAGGCTCGAGATCACGGCCGTAAGTTGACCCCTCGCGAGTGGGCCTTGTACACTGGCCGCAAAGAGACAGCCTTCGTCATGCTGCGCTTGATGCAGCGTCCTTGTCCAGAGCAGTGTTCCGAAGCCTACAGGCCTGAGTGGCCCTTGCTGCCTGCACTGGTATCCAAAGCCCAGCAGCCCAAAGGCTGCATCCAGAAGATCTCAGAGGCGATCCGGGAAGCCCTTGACATCAGCAACGTGACGGAAGCCACAGAGGAGGGGGTTCTAGATCACATGGTGCGCATGACCACATCTCTGGGCAGCCCCTTTATCGCTGTGACCTGCCGAACAGTGTGTCCCGGTAGCCCCCCTTGCGTGGGCAAACGGCAGTACTCTGTCCAAGAGATTCTAAAGAAGCAGCGGATACAACAGCTAAAGGGTCTCGGGCCGGTACATCTGGAGAGCTACAAGCATCTCTTCCAGAACTCTCAGGTCACGCTGGTGCCTAAGCCCAAGGACCGGCGGGCCAGCCTGCAGTCTCAGGGTCTCAGGGACTCCTCGGACTCATCAGCTGCAGCGGCACGGAGAGCCAGCCTCCTGCCGCTCCACCTGGTCAAGAGGAGCAGTGTGAGGCCTGGCCTGGTGGTGCCCAAACTCCGCATCACCAAGGCCCCCCCGTCCACATACGAGCCTGAGAAAGAGCGGAGGAAGAGTAGCAACAGCAGCGGGCAATTCCTGCAGATCCCTAAGTGGAGGTACAAAGAACTGAAAGAGGAGAAGAAGAAAGCAGAAGAGGCTGAGAGGAAAAAGCAAGAGGCCCTCACCAAGAGAAAAGCCTCCAAAGGCAAACGGAAGTAATTGGGTGTGATGAGAATAACTGACGCTGCGATTTATGCAGGATGTGTAAAACTGTCCATGTTAAAAGTTGACGGTTCACAATGATGGTTGCATCTTCCAGAATTTACCTTAGCTTGCTAGTAGGGATGTAAATGATTAATTGTTAACCAACAAAGAGTTTGATCAACGCTATTGGTCAGTTACTGGTCAAAGAATTTACATCCCTACTTAATAGCAACCCATTGAGGATTCAAGTCATTGATCCTTTCAGTGATCTACAAAATATATTATATGAACTGTATCATTGGACACTGGCTTGTGCACACTTCTGCATACATATTAATCAGTCAACTTTTAACAGCGTCAGTTGTTCTCTTTGCACAGGAATTGTACACACTACTCATCTGAGGCTGGGCCGAGCCACAGATGGCACTCAATACTTGAAATGTATTGTGCTTATTTATTTTCATATTTATCATTTTGAAAGCACATAATAGTGTTTTTTAATAATACTTTAAGCTGTGGCATGAAGGGTCAAACAGAATTCAAACACATTTCATTCATTTGTCGAGGTTTGGGTACTAGAATCTTGTTTATATGTACACTACCACAAACAGAATTGAATGTCCTTGATATCCCAGAAAATGTGTTCAGTGAACAGCTTTTAACAGGGTTCTCCAAAGACAGAGCTCATCTTAGATTTAAAAAGCGTTCTCAGATGAATGTATGGAAGTATGGAAGCCCATTCCTGGCAGGTAGAGGAGAAAAACAATAAAAAAAATCTTCCCCACAATCTTATTCTGACTGCAGCATGTACATTTTCTGACATATTTTCTCCAAACACTCACTTACTATGCCAAAATAATGACTTCTTTTCTTGAATTTTTGATTGTTTCTCAAAAATAAATATTATCCCAAAATAATTACTTACCTTTATAAAAAAGTATCAAGCGATTATTTTCACACAGTTTGTCATTTTGTCTTAATTCAAAATCTTATTTATTTTGAGAAATTAAGTCAAAATATGACAAAATAAGTCATTGTTTTATGATTCTAAGTCACTAACTTGGCAGAATAGGTTTAAAGACTTCCACAGGAAAGGTAGAATGCTCTGTACCTCATGAAAACATTTTTTTTTTTTTATTATTCCATTTTAATGTTTTTTGCAAGAGTGCTACTGTTTGGCCAGGTGTTTTTTGTAATACAAATATTTTTCTAAACTCATACACATCTCAGAAACACTGGTTTAGTAGAAAAGCTGCAATAAATCATTTATCATATCTACGGGTGTCACAGCAGGTGCTCATGCGACACAGAATTTGGGAGGGTATTGCAAAATCCATGAATTTACATTATAGACAAATATCCTTTTTAAAACCTGCAAGGACAGTTAAGCAAGCACGGTGAACCTAACAGTAAAGGAGATGCTTTAGAACCGCCTTAAAACTAGATATTAAAAAACTGATAGATACAACACTTGGGTTACTGAACAAACAAACTATTCTCTAGCTTGAAAGATGTGTTTGAATTGAATTGAAAATGAACTGTTAATAAGCAAGTGAATGATGATAAAGAGCAAGCAATATGTGAGAATTTAATCAAATACTGTGATATCTAGGGGTCGGCGATATGGGCAAAAATTTCTCGATACACAAAATGCATCCTAATATTTAGTTATAATGAGGTTTGAGAGGTTGGAACAGACAAAATGAATCAGTGGAGGCACGTTAAAAAAAAAAACAGTCATAAAGCGAATTAATACAATTTTTGTTCAACATTTTACACAGTGTGCTGCTCAAAATGCAATTTAACAGGCCTAAGTGCTCCACAATATGCTCAGAAAAGCATACTGTAACATAACATCATGTAATTTATCACAATAAAGATAAATATCATCATATTGCCCACCCTTAGAAACCTCCCTAAATATATCTTAACCAGTACTGTCATCTCAGGTCTTAATAGATCATACAGTATGCAGGGTGTTTTATGAGAAGTGCAAGACACCCATTACTAATTTGAACTACAGAAGGTACATTTGGAATGTGCCCCTTTCTTATCATCATCATCATCATCATCATCATCATCCTCACCACAGAACCACAGTGCCTCTCTACCTTCACATACACTTACATACATAAGAACATAGACACACCTGCACCAAGGCTGGGCCAACTTGGCCTGAGGTGCGATCATCTCAGACTTATCAATCTGTGTTTACACAACTTAAACCAAATTTGATGACCGACAATGCTTCGGAAAAAAATAAGTGAAATAAAGTTTGCAGCACTGCACTGGAAAAATTGTTGCGGGCTCCTTGCTTTCTTTTCTTTTATAGAAGAACAAATACCAGCAGTATAAAGAAAGAAGCACAGCTTTTATTAAGCCCTCAGGTATATTGGGGTCACTGGTGTGGGTCGACAGCTGCTCAGGGACTTAGCTTTGCTGCAGGGTCAGCATTTCTCCTCTGCAAATCTCTAGCAGGCACGGGGTACACAGCACCTTCTAGTGGACACTCTGGGCACTGACTTGGTCACAGTGGACTATGTGGTATCAAAGACAAACAGACAAACAGGCTTTAGGTCAGGTAGTCCTGAGGCTATAGCAACCCTGGACCTACTTCAAACCCGGTGCAGGTAAACACCAGATAACGTGCAGTGGAACAGCAAGACCTTGACCTGAATAAAAGTGGCTTTGGTAAGACTTTGCTCAGGTATGAGCTGGTCTGAGGCCTGCAGCTGAAAGCAGCTGGAGAGAACACCTGAGTCTTGTTCCGTGAGGATGACGCATGACAAAGGGAGGGAACGAGGGAAGAAGTGAGACAGAAAGAGCATAACAGCATGAGTGGGGTGGAACACTTTTGAGAAAAGTAGGCCAGAGGCTTACCTGTAAACTTCTGCTGAGCCGAGAGTGTAGCAGCCTGTGCACAGCGCTTAACCTCTGTTCTACTAGCCCAGCACAACTGGCCAGGTGGACTAAACCATTCAGCGTAGGGTTGAGTGATATGGACAAAGTATCAAACTCTATTTCCACTATGCACTGTTGTACATTGACCAGCCACTTCATTAGATACACCTCCTTGTATCTCCACTCATTGTCCATTTTATCAGGTCCACTTCGTTAGCCCACTTAACTCTGTTCTTCTGTGGTCAGGACCCCTACAGGACCCTGACAGAGCAGGCACTATTTGGGTGGTGGATCATTCTCAGCACTGCAGTAACACTGATGTGGTGGTGGTGTGTTAGTGTGTGTTGTGCTGGTATGAGTGGATCAGACACAGCAGTGCTGCTGGAGTTTTTAAACACCTCATTGCCACTGCTGGACTGAGAATAGTCCACCAACCAAAAATACCCAGCCAACAGCGTCCTGTGGGCAGTGTCCTGTGACCACTGATGAAGGACTAGAGGGTGACTAACAAACTGCAGCAACAGATGAGCTGTCGTCTCAGACTTTACATCTACCAGGCTAACCAACAAGGAGTGTCTACTAGAGTGGACAGTGAGTGGACAGTATTTAAAAACTCCAGCACCAACTGTTATGTCTGATCCACTGTACCAGCACAACACACACTAACACACCACCACCACATCAGTGTCACTGCTGAGAATGATCCACCACCCAAATAATATCTGCTCTGACCATTGAAAATATAAAAAATATACAAAGAAACAGATAGACTACAGCCTGTAATTATAGACCTGGCCTGTTTTATTCTGACCAAAATAATTTATGTTAGATCACTTTGTTTGTCCATGATTGATCAGGATGCTCACAGCCATGGGTGCTGGAAACTTTCTATGTTTTAATGGTTCTTCAGTCTGGATGCCATGAGCTTCAAATCTCTTTAGACTCCAGAAATTATTGCTCCATGTTTCACACATTCTACCTCTGCATGGTGTGAGTTTTCTTCACTGCACTCATAGTAACAGGTTTGGGTGTTCACACTGCCTGTGCAAAAAATAAATAAATCAATAAATAACAATAATAATAATCATCAAACTGGATAATTCATGGCTGTTATTAGTTCAGTGCTACAAACACATTTTCAGGTAGGTGTAAAAGTTTGATACAGCTGCCCAATTACAAGCCTGCGGGTAAATATACGCAACATGCTCTTTTATTACTAACTGATTTGGGTATTTGTCTATTTGGGAAAAAGTCTCTAGAACTTAAAAGTGACCCACTGTACTGTTAGCCAGTGCAAACACTAAGCTAGGAGTGCCAAGGAGTGCAAGCTATTATTTCTTTTTTTTTTTACTGTACATTATAGTGTGTTTATTTATTTAAGCAGCTGCCTAATTTGCCACATGAGAGAAAAGCCCTGTTCCTCTTATTAAATTAGTGCTGTGATTAAAGCACAGAATACATTTCAAACATGTGTCACAGTTCACTCCCACTCAGTTTCCAAATTACTCCTACGCCCTTGCTCAAAGCAATTTTGTGTTTAGAGAACTCATTTGTATATTGCATCCTAATTAAGGTGCAAAATACAGGGGGTCCTGGGGGTGCAGGACTCCCTAATTAACCTCTTAGACCCCCTAAATGTCTCAAAATCAAAATTCTGGGGGGTCCCTGAGAATAAACTTATGACGTTATGCTGTCGGTTAAAGAAAAACAGACATGTAACTACAAATTCAGGGAAAGCTCATTGTTTAGCTGCTTCTCTCACAATCAGCGAGCTTCTGTCTTTGGTATTCTTAACTAGAGACGCAGCACTGGTCGGCCTCAGGGTGGCGCTGTAGCAACTTGGTTCACTCAGTTGGTCCTTCATAGCCTAGCAATTATAACTATGCCGAAGACACCTCTGAAAAAATTTACAATATGCTGTAGTACAATATAAATTTGAAAACCTGCCCAACTTCCCAAGAGTTTGGTGGAAAGACTGAATTGTTACTCATTTCTTAAACTAAAGACAAACGAGGAGATGTGCAGGATCTTTTGAAGTCTGTGACATTTGCAAACTAGAAAAGAACACTTCCAGAAGAACTCAAACATTTTGTTACCATTGAAGCCAGCATCAGCACCCCTATGGCGAGTGAGTCAGCAGCCAGCCAACATGGGACCTCCCAGATGGGCGAGTTTAATTTTTTGCACACTGAGTCTTCTACGATATCAGTACTTCAAAGACTAATACCACAATAAGATTTAATGAAAGAACCCTAATTCAGCACTTGAAGAAACTGCAGTAAGTCAAAATACTGACTTAGTATTTTGAAACAATTATTTACCTTCTTAAAATAATGTCTTATTTTCTCAGAATATTCACTTATCCCAACTTTTTTTCTTGAAATACTAACACTAACATTTTCTTGCGACTTTGAGGTACTAAAATAAATTTTAAGAAAGTGTGTATATTTCAGGAAAATAAGTAATTATTTCAGGAATTTAAGTCAATATTTTGACAAACTGCTGCCAGAAACAGAAACTTCAATACAAAATGAGTTGGTGGAGTCAAATAGTCAAATATGAAAGAATAAAAATACTGCAAGCTCAACACAAAGAGGATTTTATATTAACTCTTTATTCAGACAGCCACACCTAGTGCCTAATGCCTAATATCAATATATCTTCCACTGATGTCACAA